TAATAATTATATTATATTGACTATTATTCTGATTGCCTATAATTATACAGCAGACTGTTATATCATTTGGCTAATTGCTTTTTTATCATTATTACCATGGGTAATTCACTGCATACTTTTTTTTCTGAACTTTAAAAAAATGATTAAAACTTACGAATTCAGTAATAAAGTTTATTTCAAATGTAAATATTTGTTGTCCTCGTGAGTAATATAAAAAAACAAAAATATCAGCCAGTATAATACAATTCGTAAAACAACATTTTGTAAATGGATACGGTAAAGCACTGGGTACGCTCGCATTGTTGATAACACGCATATTGAATATTTGCTATTTTACTTAAATCAATTTAACGTTCATAAATTTCGAAACTTTATGGACAAATATCGTTGTTTTTTTTATCTTTTTAATCCATAATTATTGTCATGTCGTTAAGACTATAATCTACAATAATAAAAATTGTTGATACCAACGAATGAGTAATATTATTACATTATTGCCGATTGGGAAATATCATTACGTTTTTTTTTTTTTTTTTATGTTTTATAACGTGCAATTGTAATAAAAGTGTATTGAATGAATGTTCACAATAAACGAAATAATAAAATATAAATAAATAATGTATACCTACCTATACAGGTAGTGTTTTTATTATTATTTATGTTTTATACCCAAAACGAATAATATAGGTAAACACTAAAGTAGAAAATCGAAAAGAGAAATTATTCAATATTTATTGGAACAATATTAAAAAACAAAAAACACACACGCGTAAAAAGCTAATTTCGTTCAATAAAACATTATTTTAACGGACCTCCTATAAGGCAGAAAACAACTTAAAACGGAAAAATCAGTTGGTACCGAGCGATTTCGTTATAAGGAGGTTTTACTGTAATTGTTATTATTTAGAATCAGAATTTGACGAACCGGAAAGTGATTATTGACTCCGTGATATTTTATATTTTTTTTTTCGGGGGAGGGGGAGAATCAATTTTAGCGGTTTTTACCGGATTTATTTGTGTATAGAAATCAACACGAAATATAGAAATGAAAAGCGATTCCCTTCAAAATCCCAATTATTTTAAGTTTGTCGTACAACTGACAACTATTTTCTAGCATTGTCAGTATTATAACAAAAAAATGTGTATACTTTTACGTGGATATAGTGCATCTTATAAAGATATGCTAAATATTACATTACTCATCACTCTCTATACGCTCATCATGTTTTGTGTTTTGTACTTAAACATTGAAAACCGCTATAAGAATAAATAATAATGATAAGAAAAATAAACATAAACGAATATATTTTCATTTTTCGATAAATTTCGTGTAAGTTTCATGAAATATTTCATTTCGATGAACAAACATATGCATATCATTTATTTTTAAATTTAAATCTCTAACTGTAATTATGGCAGAAATCTATTAAAGGCACTGAAAAACAAATTGAAATTATTTACAGTATTTCAGTAGTACTTCAATCGGGATTTTTACTTTATATGACCTATTCGTATAAAATTGACCGTACATTTCTTGCAGACAAACTATGCGATTTAGGCTTTCGATGTCCATCTTATTCTCGGTTAGCTTCTATTATTACGGGTAGAACACAAAAACAAAAATCGGACGTCATTCATTCGGGCGAATGATCCAGAATTTACCCGTGTAAAGATAATATGTACCTACTATATGTTCACATCATTTGGGCGAAAAATTAACCGATCGTTTGATTGAATTTATTTTTGTTGAACGGATGGTCGACAACTCGTGTTGTACGATTCGGATTAGACGCAAGTAAATATGTAGAAGTATACAACAACTAATAATAAAACTTCATAATATTGAACATTTTTAATTGTTATATCGTTTTGACCTATAGCATAATGGTTTTTAACTAACTACTAACTGCATCTAATCTAATCAGATAATAAACTATACAATTTATTTAGAATGATTAACACACTGTGATTAACCGATACACTCAAGAATATAGAATAGTTATAATATTTACCATTTATTTATTGTGTCGTTGCTGACGGGACGGTACCTAAATAATTTTTTATAGAAATATATGACAATAGTTATAAGTTATAGATATATAAAATTGATAATGAAACGGACACGCAAACTGACGCGAAATTCGATTCTATCAGAAATAACGAATGTAGAGTAAACGAAGGCTTTAATTTGTGTGAATCAACTGTTTTAAAAGACAATACTGTACGTTTTCGGTGCGCAAAAAGAAAAATTCGGATCTAGTGTATTTGCGTCATAAAATGAGTCTAGTATTATTGAATTCAACGATACTTTTATCAATCACAATGTTTCTACTTCAAAGACTTTAGCAATGGTTCAAATGAAAAGTGTTGTAAAAAAAAAAAAAAAAAAAAAGCAGCAAATATAGAATTAGTCTCGAAACCGGGTAAAATAATACACTCAACTTTACTCTCGAAATCTAAAAACGAAATTATGTATTTCAATTTATCAGATATTATATCGTGTTGAAGAACTTAATTTTCCTACTTTGCCTAATACCATAGAAAAAACATAATATGCATTATAAGCTTTATGGAAATCAAACAAAATATTACTTTTAATGATGAACAATTTTGTTTTATTGACCGAGAAAAACATATAATAGTAATAACATGTTCAGCTAATCTTAGATTGTTATGTGATTCTGAATACGTATTTGGTAATGGAACTTTTTTTACACTCCGACACATTTTTCACAGTTATACACACTTCGCTTGTGCAAGAAAAAGTTTTATGTACCCATCGCAATTTGTTTTTTACCATCTAAAACAACTCAACAATTAATGTGGTTCGGTTAGGATGAATAGTCTATCATTATAATACTTAAATAAATATTACTAAATTTTATTCAGATTTTGAAATTGAAATTAAGTAGGCACCTAAATATTTTTCAGCGTGTCAAATTATTCGCTATGTTTTCCATCTTGTACAAAATTGGTCTGGGAAAATTCAGGAAAATTGCTATCATTATAAGTTGGAGCAAAATTGCTGGTCGAAAAGTTGTCCACAGAAAATAAAAATTAAATGAATATCTTTGTAAAACCATACGGTTCTTCGCTCAATTCAGAATCTAAAAATGTCAATAAATATTATAACTATAGGAATGGGCAGGTTTCTGAAAATCCTCGGTACCGGTTCTTGTTCGGTTCCAAAAAATTCCACTTTCGGTTCCCGATGCCGGGTCAAATCTTACCCCCGGATGATGTTACTGGGTGGGATAAGATTTACCTGTTAGACCGGCTCGTCTTTTTTTGTGCGTAGTTAATGAGGACAATATATTTACAGTACGGGATAGATTTTTTTTTTTTTTGTTAATCCGTTAAAAATATAACGAATTTGCTAATTTTTTTGTATTTGTGGCAATAAACAGTAATTTATCCTATCAGTACCTATCTACACGGTATTAAACCTAAATTATGGGGAGCATAGCCGTTTTGGTTGGTTTAGAAGTTTATTAGGTACTATTGGTTATTTATGGTAAAACTATTAATGAAGTAGTTATAGATAACTGTAAATTCATAATCAAATTGTTATCTGCTTTTACTAATGCAATCACACAGTACACGCTACGGCGGTCTAGTAATAGACTGCCGACTAGTTCGGGTTATTTATGATAACGTTTATTTCTCCTTGTATCAATGCATCGTAAACTGTACAATATTTTATACTAAACCCGACCAATGCTGGGCCATATACCCACCACTTAAATTAGGTGTGGCGGCCGCCACGCCTAACGTAATATAGGAGGTTCGGCGCCACTGGAATAGGAATAAACATACACATTTTAAAAGTGTAAAAACAGACGCGAAAAAACGATATCTGATTATGGGTCATTCGCCCTAACGAAAGCCGTCCATATTACCGTGGTGTTACGGCGTTACCTAGTTCTGGAACGCCTCGGTGGTCTCGTTTGGCTTGTATTTTTAGATTACTTTTAGATATATTAGATTTTTCGGTTACAAGCGTGGAGTTCACCGACAACGATACTCATCCTATTTACGTTTATTATTAATAACCAGGGCTAGGGACTTGTAGGAGTTTGCATATTTTTCAATAATCGTTCTAAACGTAGCTAAGCGATACGGAAATTCGTTCATTGTACTAGGAGTTTAAAGCAATCATTTTTATTTTGCATATTTTGTTATATTTATATTTTAAGAGCATATTTCACATATTTTATTAAAATTAAAACAATTTACACGGCGGAGAATAACATTTTATACATACGTACTGTACAACATTCAATACGAATTTTCTAGAAATTGGAAAAAAATTGATAATAATAGATAAAAATATCTATACCGTGTGTTTTCCCAATGTGTTGTTAGTGGGTGACGGTCGATAAGGAATTAGCCGTCAGTTGATGTCAATTTGTCTATTCGTATCGTATGTGTTTTCGTTTTTATTTTAATATACCTATTATTCGTCTGTTCGTATTGTTTTTTGACGATTCAATCAAAAATGCCTAAAGTAAAACCAAATACATGTAGTCACCTGCAGTCATATGTTTCAGAATTCGGTAGTTCTGTGTTTTTAATTGATGAATCGGTACTATTTTGTAAACTTAGTGCTCACAAACGTTTTACTGTGTTACGATATTTTAAAACCGAAAAACATATCAAGTCAGTTAACCGCATTGATAAGCCAAAAAAAAAAGTCAACAACTTCTCGAATTTAATCTGCCAACTAAAAAATGTCAGTTTAACAGCGATTTATGCAAAGCTATGTTATTTGCTAATATTCCTTTATACAAAATGGAAAATGTAAAATGTAGAACATTTTTACAAGGGTATACAAGAAAAGAAATTCCAAAGGAAGCTGCTCTTCGTAGAGGTTACGTAGACGACTGTTATAAAGACACTTTAGAAAAAAATACGAAATCGTGTATCAAATAAAAAAATATGGGGGGGTACCTATTGACGAGACGACCGACGTTGAAGGTCGCTCCGTAGCCAATGCCATTATGGGAGTTTTACTGAATGATGGACCGGGTGAGATATTTTTGTCAAATACAGAAGAATTAGAAAAAGCCAACCATCAAACTAGTTTTAAACTTTTTGATAAATCCATGCATTTGCTATGGCCGCAAGGCGTTCAACATGATAAAGTCTTATTATTTTTGTCTGACGCTGCGCCGTATATGGTGAAATCGGAAAAAGCAATTCGAGCATTTTACTCAAAGATGGTGTGTGTAGGTTAGGTATGTTAGTGCATGGATTTCATCGAGTAGCCGAAGAAGTACGTTCATATTTTAACACCGTTGACCAACTAATATCTAGTGTAAAACAAGTATTTTTGAAAACACCATATCGAACTCGTATAATTAAAAACGAAGCTCCTGACATCCCAATGCCACCACAACCGATTTTAACTCGTTGGGGAACATGGTTGAATGCGGCTAAATATTATTGTGAGAATTATGAAGTTACAAAAAGTATTATTAACAAGTTAGATGAAAATGACGCGAGCAGCATCAAAAAAGCTAAAGATATTTTTTACCACCCAGATTTGAAAGCAAACTTGGCATTTATTTCTTCAAACTATAATTTTCTTTCGACCTATATTACACGTTTGGAAAAACAAAACATGATGCTATCTGAGTCTATTTCCATCGTAAAAACTGTTAAAGAAAAATTACCAAGTCCACAAGGAGCAAAAGGAAAGGCTATTTACAAAAAGTTAGAAAATGTACTATCAAAAAAAATAAAGGATTTAAAATTATTGAAAACATTTCCAATATTTTAGAAGGAATAGACAATTCTATGGAAAATCTTGAAAACTTGCAACTCAACGACTTACAGTTCTATAAATTCGTTCCACCAACATCTATTACTGTCGAGCGTTTATTTTCAAGATGCAAAAATTTATGGGCGAACAATCGCCGGTCATTTACGTTTGAAAATACAAGACAAATTTTAGTGACGCAGTGCAATTCATTTGGGTGTGATTTAAAAAATTATTAAACCATTAAAACAATATGCATTTACAATTGAAATTTTTGTTTTGTTTTTTTTTTTATCTGTATAAAGGCAAGCATAAAGTAAAAATGAAAATAATAGTGTACCTTTATAAATTTGTAACTTTTTTGCATTTTTAACGAAAAATAAAAACATTTTTAGGCATATTTTAACATTTTTGCATATTTTAATAGGATATATGATAATTTTTAAGGGCATAAACGCATGCATATTGTAAAGCTTTTTAGGGCGTGAAGTCCCTAGCCCTATTAATAACTAATTTAGGAATTTCGACGGTCGGAAGAATCAGATCAGATCTTTGTTTTACCTTCAAATGGATGAATGGGACCTGTATAATAATGTATTGCTCAGAGTTGCTAACAAAAATTTAATTTTTTTTGCTTCCGTATGTCGAAGGTCGAACTAGGAAATCAAATGCGTTCTACGTGCCATTCAATTGTGTTAACTACTCGCGAAACGTTCAGACAGTAAGATTAATAGACCTCGTGAATAGATTTGAATTGATGGATTTTTTTTTCGGATTAAATTCTGTGCTAACGCTATTTTATTGTTCAATGTTTACCTCGATAACTTTTACTGACAGTTTACGATGTTAATTTTATTATGGTACGTCTACCGATTACCATATTGTTCTGTGAAGTGATCGTCGTGTTTTCATTATTCTCACATTCGGGCGTTCGCTCGTCCAAACGAATAAATAAATTTGTCTATCGCGATGCATGCGCAAGGCCAATTTGAATGTAGAACAACGTAATGTTTAAATTTCAATGCGAATCCGACGCTACAATGATCTGGCGAGTGTAGGCATTATGATTTTGTAAAACACAATTTCGCAAAACCGAATCAATAAACGTTATTGTACGTGTGATATTCAGAAACGAAAAAATGTATTTTTCAATATTCCAAACGGTGCGCAGTATCACGGCGGAGATGTTTCGCACGCGGGGTCGCGAGACAAAAATTGTACGCCGCGTTGTCTACACGTGGGGGCAGCTGAACATTTGTGCGTTTGGAATGAATCGTCATGCATAGCATTTATCGACTTGTCGCGTATGACTTTTGTTATCTACGTTTTCAATACGTTACGGATAACGGTAGCGAATAAATCAAAACGTTTTTTTCTGCGTTTTCATACCCGGCCGACGGTGATTACACACACGTGCGTAGGGCACAATAGAACAATGGGACGTTAACGTATAAACCGTATAAATCGAATAATCGGGAGGAAAAAAAAAATAGCACAATTTTTATAAATATATACACGCAATATTATATTATTATATTATGTTGATAACAAACTGATAATAATAATAGAAATAAAAATATATATTTAAACGATTTAAACGCCTGGAAATAATAATAATAATAATAATAATAATAATAATAATAATAATAATAATATTAATAATAATAATAATAATGATAATAATAATGATAATAATAATAATGATAATATAATTAGTATATTATGATTGGCGTATACAACTAAAACGTTATCATTGATTTACAGTCCCTTAATATATTTTTTTTTTAGTCTTAATATTATTAATAAATTACGAAAGCGACGGTGTATCGTAATGTTTCGTCAGTGTTGTACGCCAACTAAAATTAATAACATGAAAACAACTGTCGTGCACAATGTTGTGTACACTGCTCCGACAGCGGCAAAAGCGCGCGGGGAGAGGATGAGTGCTGGTGGGCGGGTCGCGATAAATCGACGAAATCACACGCGCTAACGATACTACGTTTTTTTAGTATCGCGTAAACACGATTTACCCGTTATCGTATGCGATCTGTGCGTGCCTGCATTCCGGACCCGAGAGGCGCAGGAGCGGCCGAGTCCGTTTTTATCAACGTCGAGGTTGTTCGCGTCGCGGTATGGTACGCCGTAAAACGATCTCGTCGCGCGTGAACGTTACGATCCGTAAGTCCGGCACTCGAGACTTGTAGGAAAAAATAAACACAAAGTGTTCGGACCTACGGTCTTTTCCCGAGAATCATTTTTTTATACGCACCTAAAAACATCGGGAGCACCTCCCACCGGGAGCGCGACACGTCCGCGTTCGTTGTCTCGAACTAGCTCGATTTTGATTTTAGACTAAAAGCACCCGTCACGAAATGTATAGAGATCGATTTTCCTCGTGGGGTTTTCGCGGTGTTCTAAACGCACCACTGCTCGATATAAAAGGCGCGAAAATCTTTTCTTTATCTTTTTTTTTTTTTTTTTTTTTATAAAATAACTGTAATTTTTTTAACGGTTAATGATGCGAAATACGTCTGCGACGAGACTCCCATCGAAACATTGTTGTCCGCACATTTCATAACAGGTGCTTTTACTCTAAAATCGAAACCAAGCTGGTTTTACTCAGTTTGCGACGTCCTCTTGATAATATTTTTCGTACGGCGCGTTATTGATTTTTATTATTATTATTATTATTTTTTTTTTTTTTGAGAACCGGATATCGGGCGCGTACCGTCGGTCGTACTCGCGGTGTAAAAAACCATCGCGCGGCCGATATTCGGTTCTAAAAACGAAAATGGGACGAATCATTACACGGGGAACGAACACGAATAATTATAATCGTATTGGCTATCGTAACGGTGTTCGCGTGCAGAACAGCGCGGAAGAGCCGACGACGGTTCGCGCGACGTTCCCTACGGGCGTACCCGACGCGAAAACGGGCTCGGCGAGTGTGGCGGCGAACGGGTTACGGGCTTAATTTTTTTCGAAACGCGGCGAACAGCAGCGATGTTTCGTGCGACACGCGATGACGAATCGACGATCGGCCCGGGTTCCGGCGCGTTCCGGGAATCGAAACGCCCCCCCCCCCCGCGACCCTCCGGCGGGAAAAATATTACGGTATGCGCCGGTATACATTACCGTCTCGGTCGACGCCGCCGGGGAGGGGGGAGGATGAGGAGTTGCGGAAGGGGTGCGGTGGTGGTGGGGAAGGGGGTGGGTCGACCGTCGGTCCCGGCGGACCCGCTCGTACGTCGGTCGTGACGGCGGCGGAGACGCAACACTATTGTTATTGTTACGCGTCGGTGCCGGTGTCGAGCGGCACCGGCCTGGGCGCGGGCACGAGGTTCTGGAGCGACAGGTATCTGGACCGGTCGGCGACTTCGACGTTGGTGACGTGCTCGAAGCAGCACGGTTGCGATATGTGCGACTTGTCGGGCAGCCGGCGGGCCGGGGCCGGCCGTTGTTTCTGTTTGCGGCCGTGCTTGGACCGGTTCCCGGGACCGGACAGCCGGATGTTCTCCGGGTCGGACGTGAGCCGGTCGATGTGCGACCACAGCTGCTGGGCGGCGTCCGCGCAGTCGAAGCTCAGGCCCACCAGCCGCGTGTGGTCCGTGGACAGGCACATGGTGTGGAAACCCTGGCTGGACACCTTGTACGCCGTGAGATTGTCGATGGTGTCCTGCCATAGGGCGAAACACGTGCCCCGTTCCACCAACAGGATCTGGATGCGGGGCTTGTCGCGGGACCGGGTCTCGCCGGTGTCGTACAGCACCACCGGGATCCCGGTGAACTTGAGATCCCAGCCGCCGCCGTCCGGCGACGACCCTTGGAAGTACAGGTTGGCCATTGATCCGCACACGTACACCTGCAAATCGTAAACCGTATGAATAATACTGTCCGCGAATAACTTTTTCACTTTTCGATTTTCCCATCGGGTTTCGCGACGAACGGAAATGTATTATTTCCGAACGGTGAACGTAACGGCCTTACGCCGCTCAGAACAGTTTTCCGTTAGCGACGGTCGACCGTAGCGTACGATCCGCGCGGATACCGCACGCACGTACGTTGAGTTGTCCCCCCACAACAGCGTGCCGCCCGTCGTGCGAAGTGTGCCTTTCCCCCCCCCATTCCGCGACGCGCTTAGGAAATTCAAACCGAGTGTCGACAGACCTACGATGTTACGGGAATGCGCATAGAGCTAAACGCTCGACGCGGCTACGGGCACGCGCGTGTTGTGAACCATACGACATTTGTTTCAGATTTTTTCGTCGGTCCGAACCGTGTTCGCGAACGTTCTAAATCGCGCGCCCGGGACCGCGACACAACGCGCGGCCACCACGCGAATTGTGTTGCCGGCTCGGGTCGCCCGGCCGCGTATTTGCTCGGGTCGACTGCTGAATCTTACGAACTACGCCCGACCCGCAGAGTGGTTTCTTCGTCGGCCAGGTTTTCGGTTTACGCCGAGCGTACCCGGACTCCTTTGGACCGCGTTCAGGTTCGGACCGACGCGCCGTGGGTCGCGCGTTCCGTAAAGTTCCCGTAACCGACCCGGTCGCGGTCCGTTCCCCGGCCGAACGCGAATACGCCGCGCCCGGCCTAACGTACGAAAATCCGATTGTTATCGTTTTTCGTTCTTACGTTCGACGAAACGGGAGTATTCTCCGCCCTCCGCCCGACGGGACGGGGCACCGCTTGGGATTGTCTCGGGGGGGGGGGGAAGTTGAAAAATGTTGCCCTCGTAACTGTTTTACAAACCGATACGCTGATAAACGCACACTGCTAAATGGGGCGAAGAAAAAGTAGCGGTCCCCGAATACTACGGAATACTACGGAGAACAATATGTTCAACAGAAAAGGATGATATCGCTGAGCAACTGGAAACAATTAGTAATTACGGAATTGCGACAGTTTTACGAGCACGTGTTGCTCACGTTCGAGCAACATAAAGATGTATTATTACGAAAAATATTGACGAAATTCAGGTAATGGATATACGAGTGTATAATTACGCGCACATCGAAATCTCCGGGAAAATATTCTCGAATCGAACGTGTGATTGCTATTTAAAAACCCCGAGCGGAAACTGATTTTTCAGGCGTGATAAAGTTTAGTCGATTAGGAAGAGAAAAAAAGAAAAAAAAATTTACAGAAATCGAATTCGCATAAATTTTATCGAGAATGTCGCCGGTTTTGCGAGGAAATAATTTTAAAAAAACCGCCCCGCGCACGGACCGGTAGCGGGCGTCCGTCGCGACGGTGGGTGTCCAACGGCCATCTGAAACCGAACCGGGGGGAGGATAATAACTGTACCGCGATCACGTACCGGGTAAAGAGGCGCGCGTCGAATTTCTTCCCGTCGCTTTTGCTCGATTACCGCCGTGTTACCGGATTTAAAACGGCCAGAAGGCCGTAGCGTTCGGAAAAAAGGCCGGCGCGCCGGTCCGCCGCGTCCACTCGACCGCGCGCGTTCGCGACCGAAATCCGTCGGTCGTTCGCGGTTCGCGAGAGCGCGCGTTTCACCCGGGCAGGCCGTTTCCGGCCGTTTCCCGGGGGCTTCCTGTCTCGCGACGACGTAACACAATCGTCCGGTAATTATTGCGCGCCGGCCGATCGCAATGGAATTCGCGCCGTACGTCCGGGACCAACAACCGGACCGCCGCGCGCGTTGGACCAATTAAATTGTCCGCGCGCGATAGTTTTGTTATTTTGTTCCGTACGTTTCGGACCGTCCACTTCCGTTGCTGCACGTGGAAATTATCAGTCCGTCAGAAAAAAAAAAAAAAAACACGCCACACGAAATCGGCGTTGTACCGGCGAACCGGGTTTTACGGGGGCGATTTTTTTTTTTTTTTTCGTCCCCCGTTTTCGTTTCCGGACCGACCCGTCTTGTTCTGTTAACTGCGGCCGCGCCGATCGGCGTTTTAATTGCGCGCGCGCTTTCGGCGTACAGCGCGCTTCATCACTCGCCCGCCGAATTTCACTTACCGGCGAATCGGTTACGGTCGCGAAACGATACGTGTCGAATGGCGGACGAAAAAAAAAAAAAAACGCGCGCGCGGATAAAAAGTACGGCTTTTTATTATTATTATTTTTTTTACTTTAAAAAAAAAAAAAACAAACAATCAAAAAAGGCCCGACAATTCAAATTTCGTTTTCGTCGTTTCGATTACAACGGCAACCCCGGTCTCCGACCGGTCCGTCGAAAGCCGTTACGCAAACGGTACGCGCGTGCGCCGTGCACGAAAATCCCATCGTCCCGATTCGTCACCCGCGGCGCCGCGCCGTTATCGGCCGTACTATTTCTGCACTGTGATCCGCGCGCGCGACAGGACCGCGTCGAACTCTCCCGAAAACCTCGCGCGCCCGTTTCGCGTTCTGTCGTGTTTCGCGGCGACGGTTTATTATTGTGCAACGACGTAAACGAAAACGATACGCCCGCACGATCTGTTCCCCCCCCCCCCCCC